CTGAGAGAACAGCATCGAAACATGTATATTATCAAGGGTGAAACAGACCACCAGCCCAGGTTAGATGCATGAGACAAGTGCTCAGGGCTGGTGTACTGGGATGACCCAGAGGGATGGGATGGGGAGGGAGGTGGGAGGGAGGATCGGGATGGGAAACACATGTAAATCCATGGCTGATTCGTGTCAATGTATGGCAAAAACCACTACAATATTGTAAAGTAATTAGCCTCCAACTAATAAAAATAAATGGGGAAAAAAAATCTGAGTGTTCTAAACTCTTTTATCACTGATATAGCTCTGTGACTTTGAACAAGTTACTTAACATGTCAGAACCTGAGATCTACATCTTTATGATGAGAGTAATGATAGTTTTTAGATTACATTTAAATAGAATAAAGTATCACACAGCTCTAGCACATGTTAAGTGCATAGTAGTAACAGCTATTGGTCATTTGGTGTAGACTGTACATGATATCTTGTCTTCTTATTTTCTTTTGTTACTAAATGTATTCTTTTTTTTTGCTTATGCTGCTCATTTGGCACTCACAGATGTATCTTTTATTATTGTTAAGGAGTTGTGTTCTTTTCCGTTAGTTAAGTGTAAAGTTATAGAGAACAGAATTTTTTTTCCTAGAATCTAGCTTAATTTGCTTCTCCTGAAGATTAAATTAAGAATGCATTCTGAACAGAGAACTTGAATACAGAAAATAGGAAATACAAGAAAGTACTAGAGTCACAGAGCTGAAGACTATAATAACTGAACTAAGACATTTACTACAGGGGTGCAACAGCAGACCAGATAGAAGCAAAAAGGATCAGTGAACTTAAAGACCAGGCAGTAGACCTCACCCACTGAGAGCTGCAAAAAGGAAGAAGAACAAAAGAAAATGAAGATAACTTTGGGAATTTATGGAACAATCTCAGAAGGACTAACATTCACATAACAGGGCTGCCAGAAGGAGATAGGAGAGAGGAAGGGGCAGAAGAATTATTTGAAGAAATAATGCCTGAAAACTTACCTAATTTGGGGAAGAAAACAGACATGCAGATCCAGGAAGCCTAGAGCGTTCCACATAAGAAGACCCCAAAGAGACCCACACCAAGACAATTACAATTGATGATTCTTTTTAAAAATATTAATTGATTTATGGTTGCACTGGGTCTTCATTGCTGTGCACAGGCTTTCTCTAGCTTTGGCAAGTGGGGACTACTCTTGATTGCAGTGTGTGGGCTTCTCATTGAGATGGCTTCTCTTGTTGTGGAGCACGGGCCCTAGAGCGTGCTGGCTTCAGTGTTCTGTGACATATGGGCTTAGCTGTTCCATGGCATGTGGCAGCTTCCATGTGGGATCTTCCTGGACCAGGGAGTGAAACCTGTGGCCCCTGCATTTGCAGGCAGATTCTTAACCAGTGGACCACCAGGGAAGTGAACATTATAATTAAAATGGCAAAAGTTTAAGGCAAAAGAGAGATTCTTAAAAGCAGCAAGAGAAAAACAATGTGTAATGTATAAAGAAACCCCCATAAGACTATGAGCAGATTTTTCCAACAGAAACTTTGCAGCCAGAAGGGAGTAGCATGATATATTCAAATTACTGAGGGGAAAAAAATTCCAGTCTAGATTATTCTACCTGGCAGAGTTACATTAAAAATTAGAGGAGAGTTAAAGAACTTTTCCAGACAAGCAAAAGCTAAAGGAGTTCATCACCACTACATTGGCCTTACAAGAAGTGTTAAAGGGACTTCTTTAAGCTTAAAGAAAAGGATGCTAATTAGTAACAACAAAACATGAAAATATGAATCTCACTGGTAAAGAAGAATATATAGGAAAGGTAGTAGCTTAATCACTTAAAAAGCTAGTATGAATCTTAAAAAATAAAAGTAGTAAAACCATAACTACAACAATGAGGGAATACATGCAAGATAAAAAGATGTAAAATATAATATCAAAAACAAAAAATGTTGAGGGGAAGAGTAAAAATATAAAGCTTTAAAATGCATTTAAGTTGTTGTCAAAATAGACTGTTATTTATGTAAGTTGCTATATGAAAGTCTCATGATAAATACAAAAAAGGTGATGAGAAAGTAATCTAAGCATGCTAAAGAAAGTCATCAAGCCATAAGAGAAGAGAGCAAGGAATGAAAGTTCCAGAGAGGAACTACAAAACAGCCAGAAGACAGTTAACTAAATGACAATAAGTAGGGTCGCAGAGAGTAGGACACAACTGAAGCCTTAGCACACAACCATTCACATACTTATTAATTACTTTAAATGCAAATTGACTAAGTTCTCTATTTAGAATACATAGAGTGACTGAATGGATAAAAAAAGTAAGTCCCATTTCTGTGTTGCCTGCAAGATATTCACTTCAGGTGTAAGGAGAGAAACAGAAAGTGAAGGGATGGAAAAATATATTTTCTGCAAATGAAAGCCCAAAGAAAGTTGGCGTAGCTCTGCTTACATCAGATAAAATAGACTTAAAAAAAAAGACTAATTAGAAAGAAGGGTAGTAAGTAATGATAAAGGGGTCAGTCTAACAGGATATATAACATTTGCAAATGTTTTGTTGTTGTTCAGTTGCTAAGTTTGTCCAATTCTTTGAGATCCCATGAACTGCAGCATGCCAGACTTCCTTGTCCTTCACTATCTCCCAGAGTTTACTTAAATTCATGTCCTTTGGTTACAGATATTTGTGTATCTACATAAATATATAAAGCAAATAATAACAGACCTAAAGAGAAATAGGGGGCTTCCCTGGTGGCTCAGGCAGTAAAGAATCTGCTTGCAATATGGGAGACCCGGGCTCGATCCCTGAGTCAGGAAAATTTGCTGGAAAAAAAAATAGCTACCCACTCCAGTATTCTTGCCTGGAAAATTCCATGGGCAGAGGAGCCTGGTGGACTTCAGTCCATGGGGTTGCAAACAGTCAGACACAACTGAGCAACTAACACTTTGTAAAGAGAAATACACAGCGAAACAGTGATAGTAAGGGACTTTTATTAAAATCTCTTCACTTACAATAATGGATAGATTACTAGACGGAAAATCAAGAAGAAAACATTGCCTCAAAGGACTTAACATTGCCTCAGATAGACTTAACTACAGATTAGATAGGGCATTCCATCCAAAAGCAACACAATGCATTTTATTCTGATGCACACATGGCCTATTATCCAGGGTTCATCATATGTTAGATCATAAAACAAGTCTTAATAAATTTAAAAAGATGAAAATTGTATCAAGAATCTTTTTCTACCAGAAGAGTATGAAACTAGAAATCATTTACAAGAAGAAAACTGGAAAAATCACAGACATGTGGGAATTAAACAGAATACTATAGAACAACCGATGAGTCAATGAAGAGATTAAAAAAAAAAAGTACTTTGAAACAAAACTGTAAATACAACATTCGAATCTTATGGAATGTAGCAAAAGCAGTTTTAAGAGGAAAGTTCATAGTGATAAATGCCTACCTCAAGAAATGAGAAAAATCTCAAATAAACAACCTAACTTTATACCTAAAGCGAGTAGAAAAAGAACAACAAATGAAGCCCAAAAGTAATAGAAACAAGGAAGTAACATAGAGTGGAAATAAATGAAATACCAGCTAAGAGGACAATAGGAGAGATCAGGGTAAGAGATGGTTCTTTGAAAAGATAAACAAGATGAACATACTTTTAGTTAGACTCACCAAGAAAGAAAAAGAACTCATGGATTCATTTAGAAACGAAAGAGGACATTACAACTGATACCACAAACATACAAGGGATTGTAAAAAAACTACTGTGTTACTGTGTGCACTTATATGCCAACAAAGTGGAGAAGCTAGAAGAAATGGATGTATTTCTAGAAACATATAACCTACCAAGACTGAATCACAAAGAAATAGAAAATCTGAACAGACCAGTTACTAGTAAGGAGATTGTATCAGAAATCAGAAACCTCCCAACAAAAGTCCAGGACCAGACAGTTTTGCTGGTGAATTCTACCATACATTAAAAGAATTAATACCATTCCTTCTCAAACTCTTCCAAAAATAAAAAAATGATGGAATGCGTCCAAACTCATTTTACAAGGCCAACATTACCCTGAAACCAAAATCAGACAAGGATGCTGCAAGAAAAGAAAATTACAGGGCAATATCCTTGATGAGCATAGATGCAGAAACCAACAAAATATTAGCAGACCAGGTTCAACAATACATTAAAGAAATTATACACTGTGATCAAGTGGGATTAATTCCAGGGATGCAAGAATGGTTCATCATCTGCAAATGAATTGGTAAATCACATTAACAAAATGAAGGATAAAAATCATATAATTATCTCAATAGAGGCAGTAAAAGCATTTGACAGATTTCCACGTCCACTTACAATAAAAAACTGGGTATAGATGGTATGTACCTCAACATAATAGAGGTTATATATGGCAAGCCCACAGCTAACATTGTAAGTGGGCATTATGCCAGGTGAAAAAATGAGACAAAGACAAATACACTATGATTTCATTTATGTGTGGAATCTAAACTTTAAAAAAAAAATCAAAGCTCATAGATAGAACAGATTAGTTGTTGCCAAAAGGTGGGGGTTAGGGGTGGTGAGACTTGGTGAAATAGGTTAAAGGGAGGCAAAAGTTCCAAACTTGCAGTTATAAACAAACAAGTCATCAAGTGTGTAATGTATAGCATGGTAACTGTTGTAATAGTTGAAAGTCATTACGAGAGTAGCTCTTAAAAGTTCTCATCACATAAAAAATTGTGTGTATATGTAACTGTGCGTGATGAGGAGTGTTATCTAGACTTACTCTGGTGGTTATTTCACTTTATATATAAATATTGAACCATTGTGTTGTACTCCTGAAACTAGTATACTGTTATATGTCAGTTATACCTCAATAAAAAAATGGGTTTTGAATCTTTTCCTCTTTTCACTTTCTCCTTTCAATTTTGGGAAACAGAAGACATTTGTATTTAAATTCAAAATTGAACTTTTTTTTTTCAGATAACCATGATGATTACAGAGACTGCTCTTATGCCTTTTGCTTGTTTTGAAGATACATTGAGTCGGATGCTGTTTGGCTGGCAGCAGAAGTTTTTACCATGTGAAAAGAAAAGTGAAACAAAATCATCTTTCAATGGTACTGGTTCATCTACCTCAAAACCTGTAGCTAATGCTTCAGAGAAAGTTAAAAAGAAACATAGTAAGAAGACTGAGTAAATTCACTTGATGAGCTTCAGAAAGCAAAAAATTTTCTTACCTACCTGTCAGATTGTGATAAATATTTCTTGTAAATGATGTAAATAAAGATTATATATAAGGATTGGAGGTGACAAAAAGAAAGAACTTCTTTCTGTTTCAGGGAGACTGTCCCTTTCTGGATTGTAATTTTTTGAGTGTTATGAGTATATCATGTGAAATTGTTTTTCTAAGTTATATATAAAAGATTCTATTGTGATTTTTAAAAGTTTTATATGGATAAAAGAAGACTGAATTTTTAAAAAAATGTTAGAAAAAGTAAACCTACTGTCATTGCAAAATTACAAAATTAAAGTCTTACTGTTTAATCTAGATATTTTCATAAATTTTTATTTGAATCTATTTGAATTTTAGTTCAGCAAAATTAAACTTTTATTTTCACATTACCATTATAATTCCTAGATATGAAAAACAGTTCTTGTTTAATTTTGAGTACTTTGGGAAGAGTAAACTTTACCTAAATCACTTTATATTATGAATGAAAATAAATTACTAGTTTATATCTCAGAAATGAACATTGTATTTTTTGCCCACATTAAATGGAAATATCTGAAATTTAATTGTTTTCTACTAGCATTTTTCAGTGAGAATAGAATATTATTAGTCTTAATCTTAAGTGTGTTTCTTGCCCTTGTTTGTACTATTTCTTTTTTCTCAAAAGAAAATCAGGGGCATAATTTTTAATAAGTTACTAAGTCCATGTTTTGCTTTGTAAGTTTTGAGGAGCTTATTTTTTTTTCTCTCTCCTTAAAACACATTTGTTTTAACTGTGGGAGATATTCTTCACAGCATTTTGTATATTCTTAAGGATTATTTAAATTAAAAAAATTTACCTTAATGTTTACTTTCTTATAAGTACTTCTCAGTTTTCTAGTTGAATGCCTCTTACTAGTTTTACATATGTTTGTTATGTTTTAATGTACATGTACATATATTACTAATTTTATTTTACATTAAAACTAGTTACCCTTATGTGTAAATACTCAGCTCTAATGAGAATTGTCCTCGGGCATCTGACAGCATCCAGCTAATTAAGAAGAAACAAACTAAAATCTTGTATGGTAGTAGTCTATTTGAGTAAAGAATGATGACGTTACATTTTGTACCTATTGGCAAAAATAATTACAATAATATAATAATAAGTAGAAAAGTTATTAAATAATGTTAAACTTTCTTTATTTTATAGTTTAAAAGTCCAGTTATAATTTTAAAAACTCTGTGACTGACATAAGTTCTGCTAAGACCATGAGCCTGCATAGAGTTAGCATGTATCAGGCATTTTTGTATGACATAGAAATATTCAAATCATACTCAATTTGGAAGTCTTGGTTTTTAAAATTTTTAAAAATATATATATAAACACCAGCAGGTACTATACTTGCTAAGAAAGTTTGTTTTGAGGGGGAGGACCTTTGATAACTTTGGAATGATAAGAAGTTAATTTTTTAATATTAAGTTAATTTTTTAATATTCTGAAAAGTCATTAAATATTTAAGGGTTCTGTATTATATTTGATACTTTTATAGTTAACTTTTCAGAATTAAAACGTTGCTAATTACTGGCTTAGTTTTGAAGTTTGGGTTTCACTATAATTGAAATGGCAGGAATCTTATTTTACACTTGTATTAAAGATAAACTTATTGCAATAAATTATTATTTCTATGTTTTTTTGTATTTTTCTTGATATAGGAGTTTATAGCTCCTGTGGCCTTTTGGTTGATTTGATATATATCCAGATATTACTGTCTGCATGAGATATACAAACTTATCTTTTCCAGTATCCATAACCTTTAATTCAAGGATTTTAAGAGCTCTACTAGAGGACACGGCTTAGGCCTGAAACCTCCCAGTTCATGCTGCCTGCAGAGACTTGACTGGATTTGCAAAGCAGATTGTTACATTCCTTACCCAACATGTAGTATGAATGAAGCCTGTGGGCCTGCTTCACACAGACAGATAGGTAGCACTGAGAAAATTAAGGTCTGGTAGGTTTTCTTAAATAAGAGGAGACAAGAAACTGGCAAGAACATGGGCTGGCTTAACTCAGTGATCTCACCCTCTAGTAAAATAAGGCCAAATTAATATCAAACTCTGATTTATCAGATTAGTCACTCTTCCTTGATGAGGGTGTAATGGCTGGAGAGGGACTCCACAGATAACGTGGAGTGAATGGATTTCAGGGAAATTCCAGCTTTCCTGTAGGCAGAAAGCAAAATATGGAGAGAAGACGAGAGACTTTCCCTCTTTGGTGGTTTTTTTTTTTGGTCTATTCTTTTAAGGCGTACATTATTCTGTTAAAATCTACCACAGATCACAAGTTATCACAAATGAGTGATACATTAGAGGTGGAATAACATGTTCAAGAATATCATCTCTCCCCCTACTGCTTTCTTGTTTACATTTTACTGGTGGTAAGACATAGAATAAGCAAACAGATATGGTCTTGTGGTAATACTAAAGGTTATGAATATATATTAAGCAGAACCCAAGGACAGAAAGTGAGAGAGCTGGGGGTACTTGTTAAGTAGGAGTTAGAAAGGCCTTTCTGTTAAAATTGTATTTTATTGGAGAGGAAGTGGGGGAATAAGTCAGGCAGACATCTGTGTTAAGTGCAAGGTCATTCTTCACTTAGTTGAGTTAGATTATGTATTTTTCCCCAAAATTATTGAATTTATTTTTTTTATTTAGTACAATTACACACTTGTTTTTAACAGACATATTTCTTTGATGGAATTTTTCTTGTTTTTACAGTTTGTTCTTTTTTAAGTTAAAATTCACATACAGTGAAAGCACATATTTAAAGAGTTGACAAATGCATACAATTGGTACAGTCTAAACTCCTATCATTACCAATGCCTCAGGAAGTTCATTTCTAGTTAAGCCCCCTCCCCACAACTGAATAGAAATAAAATCATGCAGTATATTCTCTTTGGCATAAGACATCTTTCAAACAGCATAATGTTTTTGAAACTCATTCATCTTGTTGCATTTATCAGTAGTTCATTCCTCTTTAATTATTTATAGCATTGTACTATATGACTGTGTCACAGTTTGTTTATCCTATTGATTCCCATCAAGGCTGTTTCTAGTTTGGGATGTTCTGAATAAGCTACTGTGAACATTTTTTTGTACAAATCTTTTGGGGACCATGTGTTTTTATTTTTGTTGGAACAAATATGTTGGAGTAGAATTATGTTTTATTAAAAAAAGGCAACTGCTAGACGTCTTTTCCAAAGTAGTTGTACCATTTTACACTTCACAACAACGTATGAGAGTTCCACAGTCTTACACAGGATTAGTGTTGTCAAGCATTTTAATTTTGTTCATTTCTAATGAGTGGTTTATAGGTTTTATGGTTTTAATTTTCATTTCCTTAATGATTAATGTGATGTAGAACACTTTTGTGTGTGTACTTATTGGCCATTTGTATATCTTGCTCTGTAAAGTGTTTCTTTGGATGTTTTTCCCATATTTTATTGGATTTATCTTTTTATTATTAAGTTCTTCATGTATCTTGGATATCCATTCTTTGTTAAGCAGGTGTTTGGTACATATTTTTGTGGGGGCTATGGACTACCTATATAATGATGTCATTTTTATAACGATGTCATTTAATGGGCACACATTTTAAATTTCAAAAAACTAATTTCCCAGAATTCTGTTTTACAGTTATTATTTTCTGTGTCTTAGAAACTTTTGCCTACCTCTAAGTTACAAGTATGGGCTTCCCAGGTGGCACTAGTGGTAAAGATTCTGCCAGCCAATGCAGGAGATGCAAGAAATGCAGGTTCCATCCCTGGGTCGGGAAGATCCCCTGGAGTAGGAAATGGCACCTCACTCCAGTATTCTTGTCTAGAAAATTCCCTGGCAGAGGAGCCTCACGGGCTACAGTCCAAGGGACTTCAAAGAGTTGGATGCAACTGAACACACAAGTCAAATACATTTGCCCATCTGAGGAACCCCAAATAAAGGAGTGCCTCGCTTTTATTCTGAAAAGCACTTAAAAGAGGAACACTTTATGCTATTATGTAATAATTCTATTATTTGGGCCTAATTTTTGGTTCTTCTCAAAAAACACTGTACATGCTATATATGCAGTCACTTTTTCTGTAGGAATTTATAATGTGTAAATTCCTATAATGTATTCTTTAAATACATTATAGGAATTCAAGACTTTTTGTGTTGTACTTAGTTGCTCAGTCATGTCCGACTCTTTGCGACCCCATGGACTGCAGCCCGTCAGGCTCATTTGTCCGAGAGGATTCTCCAGGCAAGAATACTGGAGTGGGTTGCCATGCCTTCCTCTAGGGGATCTTCCCAGCTCAGGGATTGAACCCAGGTCTCCCGCATTGCAGGCAGATTCTTTACCAACTGAGGCACCAGGGAAGCCCAAGATGGAGTGGGTAGCCTATTCCTTCTTTAGGGGATCTTCCCAACCCAGGAATCAAACCAGGTTCTCCTGCATTGCAGGTGTATTCTTTACCAACTGTGCTACCAGGGTATGTCTATTTAGGGAGTTTGTATGTAGGCTTGTCCTTGGTTTATCACAACTTTGGTATTTACAAGGGATGGTGAATAAGAATCTGACAGTAAAAATCCTCTAAACTCAGTCTAGGTATGGGATTAGTTGGGAAGTTAGTGATCCATATTGAAGTATACAATCCAGATACGTCTAGTTTGAAAATCAGTACAGCTTTGTTTACATGGCTGTCTATTAATCCATGACAATACAAAGTTATATGGCACTCTGAATTGAAGTTGAAAACTATCATTTTTTTTTACTACATTTAATAAAGAGAATTAAGATTTAATTGGGATAAAAATAAGCAATTCATATGGTGGGATTGTGGTTTGGTGTGGGGAGAAGAGGGGACTCTCCTGCTGTATAAAGTAACTTAAGATATATTTTCACCCCTGTAGAATGTATTAGTAAAGAGAATAAAGTTGATAATGAATATTTGTATTTTTAGAAATATTTTGTGTAATTGTATGAAGTTTGATGTAAAAATTCAGTCTATCAGTAAAATAAACTGTAGACTGAAACCTTTCTTGAGGATAATATGAAGTGAAAGGAATAGGCTACAGTGGCTGATAAGCAACACTGTTACATTGACATCTTAATGAGATGTGAAGAGAAGTACATAACATCTTGATTAAATTTTCAGAGGACATTTGGTATTATGAAAACCTGTGTAAGTGACAGGAAAAATTCAAAGGACTAATAATATGCTTGGGAAATGATTCAGCTTAAAAATGTTGAAGTATACAGCTGGGAAGAATTACAGGAGGTCTAAACCTAAGGAAAAATGCATTCATTTTATAAAAATATGAATAACAAAAATTAATGAAACATTAGTTTGTTATAGTCTTCATTTTGAGCAGCTGGTATTTTGGGGGTTATATTACTGAGGAAGAGAACAGTTTATTTTAGAAGACACATGTCTTTGCCATGTCAGCTTACATTAAAGGACTGTTTAGAAAATAAGGTATATGAAAAAATGTTTAAAACATTATTTCACAGAGAAGCATCTAGTTGATTTATGGATATAACTAGAGTTCTGCAGTTTGGAGTGCAGAATACTGTACCACAGTCATTTCCTATGTATAATATTTAAGTACCACAGGTCAGTAAGATTTGTTCAGAAGTCTCTTCTCTTCAATACACTATTACTGTGTTTTATTTTACTGTTATGATGTTATGGTGATATAATGGTATTGTTATGGAGGAGCTCAGTTGCTCTGTATGGCCTTCTGACTCATGCACTTAAGTAATTCTTTCATTGCTGTTACTGCACTACTATGCCAATTACTGCATTCACCTTATATCTGATCTTTCATGTTATTAGTTGAATACAAGTCCTCAGAAGCTCACATTATACTTCCCTCTGATTGCAAGTAGGTATTATGATAAGTTTTGTGGGAATTAAATTCAGTTGAACACAATATTTTAAAATTTTTCTGTCTCGCTCTAAAGTGGGTTCGTGTTCAAGAGGCTTCAGGTTTGGTCCTGCCTTCTTATCTTGAGCAGTGTTATTAATGTTGTTCTTTATAAAAAAGACTTGAAACCAAACTGTCCAGAATCTTTTAAGTTGCAATCCCTGTCTGAACCAAATCTTTGGGGTTCTAGACATTTAGGTTCATAAATGTTCTAGGTTTTTATACCTGATTCAAGACATTGTTTTCTTTTTTTTTCTTTGATAGTAGCCATCCTGATCAGTGTGAGGTGGTATCTCATTGTAGTTTTGATTTGCATTTCCCAAATGATTAGTGACTTTGAGCATCTTTTCCTGAACTTATTAGCCATTTGTAAATCTTTGAAGAAATCTTTATCCAAGCCATGAATTTTATCCAAGTTCATACTTTAATTTGGTTGTTTCTTTTTTTTCCCCCCGTCCCTGAGTTTTAGTTCTGTATATATTGTTTGTATAAATCTTTTGTCAGATATATGACTTACAAATATTTTATCCTATTTTGTGGGTTATCTTTTTACTCTTAATATTCTGGTGCATACATTTAAAAATATTTATGAGGTCCAATTTGTCTACTTTTTATTTTGCCTTTGCCTTTGGTGTCATATTAAAGAAATCATTGCCAAATCCAGTGTCATGAAGATCTGTCCTATATTTCCTTTTAAGAATTTTATAGTTTTAGGTGTTATATTTAGGCCTTTGATCCACTTTGAGTTAATATTTGCATATAACGTTAGGAGGGTTCAGCTTTTTTCTTTTGCATGTGTTCATTCAGTTTTCCCAGCACCATTTATTAGAAAGGCTGTTCTTTCCCCATTGAACAGTCTCTGCACTCTTGTCAAAAATTTGACCATATATGTGTTTAATTCCTGGTGGCTCGATTCTATCTAGTTGGGTGTATATGCCTGTATGTCTGCTATATTAACACTCTTCATTACTGTAGTTTGTAGCAGGTTTTGGGGTCTTCCCAGGTGGCTTAGCTGGTAAAGAATCTGCCTCCAATGCAGGAGACCTGGGTTCAGTCCCTGGGTCGGGAAGATCCCCTGGAGAAGGGACTGCAACCCACTTAAGTATTCTTTTCTGGATAATCCCATGGACAGAGGAGTCTGTCAGACTACAGTCCATGGGGTCACAAAAGAGCAGGTTTTGAAATGTGTAAGTATTCCAGCTTTGCTCTGTTTCAAGATTGTTTTGGCTATTTGGGGTTGCTTGAGATTCCATATAAATTTTAGGATGAGTTTTTCTAAAGAAATCGAGATATTGACAGGAATTCTATTGTAGGTCATGGGTATTATTGACAACACTATTAAAACTTCTAATCCATGAACATAAGATGTGTTTCCATTTATTTATGTCTTCTTCAACTTCTTTCAGCAATATTATAGTTTTTATTGTGTAAGTCTCTCACCTTCTTGGTTAAGCTAATTACTAAACATTTTTTTCTTTTTTGATGCTATTGTAAGTGGAATTGTTTTCATGATTTCCTTTTCAGATTGTTCCTTTTTTAGTGTATAGAAATGCTATTAATTTTTGTGTTTAATTTTTATCCTGCCTTTTTGATGAATTCATTATTTTTAACTTTTTTGTGATATTTAGAGTTTTCTACATAGAGCATCATCAGCAGATAGAGACAGTTTTATTTCTTCCTTTCCATTTTGAATGCCTTTTATTTCCTTTTCTTTCCTAATTGCTTTGGTTAGGACTTCTAGTACTATATTTGAAAGAAGTGGCAAAAGTGAACAACTTTTTTTCCTGATCTTTGGTGTAAAATCTTACAGTCTTTCACTATCATGCATGATGTTCTCTATATGTTTTTCCTGTATGGCTTTTATTATGTTGAGGTAGTTTCCTCCAATTCCTAGTTTATTAAGTGATAGTTATTCATGATAAAAATCATGAAAATGTGTTGAGTTTTGTTAAATGCTTTTGCTGCATTTGTTGAGGTGATCATGTGGGGGTTTTTTTCCTTCATGGGATTAATGTAGTGTATTACATTGATCAGTTTCCTATGTTCAACAGTCCTTGCATTCCAAGAATAAATCTCACTTGATCATGGTATACATTTTAGTATGCTGTTGATTTTGGCTTGTAAGTGTTTTGTTGATTTTTGCATCAGTGTTCATAAGGGATATTGATTTATAGTTTTGTTTTTTCTTGTAGTGTTTTTGCTTAACATTGGTATCAGGATAATGCTGGCCTCTCATAGAATGAGTTAGGAAGTGTTGCCTCATCTTTAATTTTTTGGAAAAGTGT